TAATTGTATTCTAGATTCTCTGAGAAGACCTTACTTTTCAGAAAAAAAGGATTAATCCAGTATGGTTGAAAGTAAATCCACTTAAAAAAATTTACATGAGTTGTCCTTCAACTGTTACGAAAATCTTGATCATTCTTAATATCTTACTCCTTGAGCTTTCTAAATAGTGGGACTATATACTATAATAACTGCAGTGATTCAGAGAACTGTAATTTAATGTTATAGAATATATTATTTTTGAAGGATATAACCAAATTTTTTAGTAGCTTGCATAGCTTTCATATCAAAAACGTGGTGCATTAAATAAAGCCCTTTTTAAAACATTTTGTTTACAAATTTGTCTTTTAGGTCAATAGCAGCATGTAAGTAGAGATGTTATGATGTCATAAAGTAGTTGGAAGGAGAGATAGTACGACAAGTGGTTGTTGACATGAAATGTTTGTTTTGAGAGAATTCTTGGCATTTTTGAGAATTTGTAGGAGAGGAGGGAAGTATTTGTGTACCTGTTGAGGATTAATGTCCTTGTAGAGCATTTGTTAGTGAATATATTAATGCTAGTACCATAAATATAGTAATTAAAAAGTTGCACACTAAACACTTTATGGATTGGCATAAATATTCCTTTCATTCCCTTGATGGCTTGCATTCAAGGGAATGGCGCATGGCTCATCTCAGTCTCTTCACATTCTTAATCAAGAATAGAGAGAAGGATGGCAGTCTCTAAGGGCTGTTTCCTCCTTCAGGCCTTGCTGATCAGATGGACAGAAATTTTGGTTGCTTTCAGGACTGAGTTATTTTTTAAAAAATTGATTTTATAGAGAGATTGGGGATGGGGGAGGGACAAAGAGAGAGAGACAGAAACAAACTTCAATTTGTTGTTCCACTTATTTATGCATTCATTGATTGATTCTTGTATGTGTCCTGACTGGAGATTGAACCCATGTATCGCAATGACTCTCTAACCAACTGAGCTACCCAGCCAGTGCTAAGACTGAACTATTTTTTTGAACAGTTCAGAAAAAATATTACGTAGTACATACAATAATAACAACGACAATGATATCCCACTATTCCTCACTTTTGCAAACTTTATTTTATTTATTTATTTATAATGAAAGTATCATTAAAGATACTTTCAGACAGTACCATGGGTGTGTTGCTATGTGATGTGTAAATGTGTTTAATATGGTCCCTCAAAGCTTATGTGTTATAAAAGAAGTGAAATGATGAATAATATACGTATATAATAGGACAAAACCATAGACACCTAACGGAGTGAGCTTCAGCATTTTCACAAGGAGTGAGGCTTCATTACCTCATTACGATCTGTTGCCCCAGCGGGTTGAACCTGAGCAGGCTGCTGTGTTGAGTGAGCATGTGGGAGGGGAGGCAGTGCGCTGTTAGAGTGACGATGTCCTGTCCTTCCCAGGAAGGACAACAGAGAAGGCAGGCAGATGTAAAGTGGGCAACTTCTATTGCTTTTCATGCTCAAAATGTTCGCACCTACCCATTTTCTCATTTAGGAGGCTTTTTGTGTTTCATAATTTCATTATTTCTGAATCCTCTTAGTTAACACACAATATTTATTTATGAATTCATAAAGATTTTCTTCTGTAAAGAGGAAAGGAAATGCAGTTGCATGTGGTTTGAAGCTTGGCTTTGGATCAATTAGGGTGGAAAAGGAAGGAATAGAAGATTATTTCTGTTCTCGCTGTCAGGCGTGTCCACCCTTTTGGTGTCTCTGGGCCACACCGGAAGAAGAAGAGTTGTTTTGGGCCACACACTAAATACATGGTGACATGTAATCACAAAAAAAATCTCATAATGTTTTAAATAAATTTATGATTTTGTGTTGGGCTGAGTTCATAGCCATCCTGGGATGCATGCGGCCCATGGGCTGCCTGTTGGACATCCCTGGTTTAATTGGCCTCCTTCTTATTTGTGTGAACTCTTCATTTATGCATTGGTTTATCGATTGATTGTGTATTTATTGACTGCTTGTTGTATATATATCCTTGCCCTGAGCATACAAAGTTGAATGGCCCAGTCAGTAGGCATCAACTGGCTCTGGAACCTTCTCAGTCCTGGCTGAATTCAATGATGATAATGTGTTTATCTAGAATTCTAAAATTCTGTCATCTTCTAAAGATGGCCTGGAGATGTCTATATTGTGGAGCAGCCTTGGCATTTCTGAGGTCACGAAGGCTGCGGAGAATGTAACGTCTGTTTTTCACGTGTTTTCCATTGTATTAGATTTTCTAATGAACTTTGTTTGCTGCTTTGGGCACTAGTGGAGTTCTTGGAAAGAACTAAGTCACTCCACCCACTTCTGTATTTGCCAAAATTCGAGGTCAAGGCGTGGGCAGGAGACTGAAGTGGGTTGACAGCACGTATGCTAGGAAATCTCGGGGGCAGGTGCTGCCGCCAGCACCACTCCCCTTCTTCTTGCCTTTGCTTTCAAGTATCGGACTCGTTATTTTCATTACGTTAGTTGTACTGGGCGGGGGTGGGGTGTGGGGGAGTCTTTGAATTGAAGCATCTTAAGAAGCCTTGTAAGCTGGTAAGTAGTGGTTTCACTTTATGCAACCATATGTAAACTTTTGGAAAATTGACATCCAAAACCTAAGATCATTTTAAGAGCATTCTTCTCAATCATTGCGTACACAGTACTTTTTGATACTATTAAGTTCTACTATGGGTATGCTTATCCCATAAATATTCCACCTTGATACATACTGGCAAATATAGTTTTGTTTTTTTTTTTCATTAAAATGGGGTTGGACTACTTTAATTTTGGAAGGTAGCATGCCAGAAACCAAGATTTTTAACATCTGTGTCTCCAAATCATTTCTGTGTCAACTTGTTTCAGCAAAGAGTCACACCACCTATTTATCTAATATTGATGTCATTTGGTCTCTTGCCTCCAGCCTCCCAATGCTCTTGCCTACACACTTCCTATAACCAGATTTGTCTTTATTCCTCTGTCACATTCTGCTAACATCAGAAGGATGTGGATTCTGCTTTCTCTTCAAGGCCAGCTCCTTCCTCTGTACGCCTGCCCCTTTCCCCACCTTCTTTGGGATCTTATGCCATCCTTTCCTCCTCCCTCTTGTGCCCTCAACCTTTCTCTCTTACTGATTCCTTCAGCCTATTGACATGGCCTTCCATCAGAACTTGTCCCTTCCAGCATCCGTCCGTTCTCTCTCTTCTCTTCCACTGGCTCTGTTGTCTCTGCCTCCAACACTTCACTGAAAACACCCTCAGTCAAGGTGGCCAGTAACTGCCTAAGAGTCAAATCCAAAGGTATATTTTTCATTTTTTGTCTTCATCCACCGCATTGTATCCCATGGGACTTCTCTCTCTGCCTTTCTTCCTTGGGCTTATTCAGAAGATCTTTTTCCTCTGCTCATTCAGATCCTTTCATTCTACCCAAGTTCCTTCAGTGATATCACCCACTAACATAATTTTTCTACTTTCTGTGTAATGAACACTTATATGCCTTTATGTTTTACTTAGGTTTCTTCCCCAAGCTTTATACTCAAGGATATATGGTATACCTATCTGAATCTTCTACACCGCGATTTCTAATGCCCCAAACTAAACTCCATTTCTTTATTAAACATGCTCAATCTCCTGTATTCTCTGCCTCAGTTGCCGCTCCTGTCCACCCACATGTAGTCATTTTCCAAGTTGTTTTGTGTCTGGATGTTTCCCAAGTACTAATTCTTCTCTCCTTTCCCCTTTCCTACCTACTTCCACTGTCCCAATCCCCACCCTTCCTCTCCTATCTAACAACCTAAGTGGACTCGTTGGTCTCCCTACCTCCACTCTGTCCCTTTTGAATCCACCCAGAGAAAGGAATGCACACATCTGAAGCGCAGATCTCACGCAGCAGTGGCTGTCTGTGGGCAGGAGACAGTCAGAGCACGTGGATATGTGCAGAAGGTTATGATCTGGCCCCAGGCTTCTTTCTTGGCCTCACCCCATAGCACTGAATTGCATGTGCAGCTTCTTAATGCTGCCTTTTCCCTTGTCTGTGTCCCATTACCAGCTTGGCTAAGTTCTACCCAGCCTGAGGTCACATCAGGCATCCCTTCTGCTTGGAAGCCTTCCCTGACCTCCCCATTTCTGGGCTAGGTGCCTCTGCTTGACATGAGTCACTTCAGCTGACATCCCACTGCTCTACTGGGCCCGTTGTGCGTGTCTCTGGCCCCATTACTTAAAGATAGAGGCTGTGTCTTATTTATCTTTGTAGCTCCAGTGTTTAGCACAGTGCTTAGCATATAGTAGGTGTTCAACATATGCTTTTTAAGTGAAAAATTAATAGTGACAGTAAATCAACTCAAGGTTTACAAAAATGGGCAAAAGTAACCTATGCACAGTAGTCAAAAGTAATCTGTGCACAGTAGTTACCTTTGGGGGACACGAAGGGAGCTTCTGGGGTTGGATGTGGTGTGTTTAGGTTAGGAAAATTCATTGTGCTGTCCACCTGTGGTATGTGTTCTTTTCTACATTTATGTTACATGTCGAGTTTTTCTAAAAAATCGGTTTGACGTCTTATCTACCCAATACAGGAAATTTCCTTTTTTTCCTTTTGAGCTTTTAGAGTTTTTACAGGATATTAGTTCAGATTTTACGGCAGAGAACCAGGCTACTGCTGTTCCTCTTCGTGAAGGAAGAGGAAGATGACAAAGCATTAGTGAAATATGCACGGGATGCCTGGCCTTCCAAAGAGGGCCCCGGACGCCAGCCCCGGTGGAGGGACTTGCCGTGACCTGCACGCCTGTCACACTTATTACAGGGGCCACATGCTAATCCTCAGTGAGCTCTGGGCCTGCTTGCAGTGACAGGGATACTTCGCCTCGGATGTGACTATGAATAATTCATAAATGTAGTTATCTGGAAATTTGCGGTCATCATTAGCATTTTAATGAAAAAAAATGCAGTCATTATTCTCAATCTCTGTTTTGTTTCTGCTTTCTTTCCTCCCCCCACCACAGCCAACCCTCTCAGTCTTTCCTGAGCGCTTGGAAACTGCTGAGGCCCCTGCCAGTGTGCCGACCGGTCGCTATGGGCAGACGGTACCCGGAGGCTCCCTGTCGTCCAGGCAGCTCCTGTACGTATGGGACTGGTCTCTCTCTCTTTTCCTTTAATTTTTCATTATAGAATATGGCAGGCTTCTGAGTTAGTACAGGTTTATAACATTTAACTTGACAGTGTTTAGAAATGCAAGATAGTGAATTGCTCTCGGGTAAGTTTTTAATATTGAACGATGAGAAATGTTATCTAAATTAGGATTTTAATAATTCGGTGGCCTTATAAAAGACCAGGAGTGCATATCAGCAATCTTCCTTTCAGTGCATCCAGTCAGATAGAGGATTTGTGGGGTATTTTAGCCATTTTTCTATCATATATTTAACATTTGCACCAATCCCAGTGTCATAAATTAAAAACATTTCCCAGTGATTGTTTTAGTTCTTTTGGAATAAAGAAACTTATGGGCCCAGAAGAGACTTCATTTGGGTATGTCATTGTGGAATACGTGTTAGGAAGAGAGAGTCTGCAGTTCTTACTCCTTAACGTTCTCCAGGGGAGGAAACAAACGCCCGATTTGCTCAGGGGAGGCCTTCCGAGTCTCACAGCGCTACGTCCTTCCAGTCAGTCCTTCCCGTCATCTCTTGGGAATGGCTGCCGTTGCAGCCTTTTTCTATTTGTCACTTACCCCCGCTTCACTTATTTCTCTTTACCCCCGATCTCTCTTATTTCTATAAAAGAGAGTTTGTTTCAAACGTATTTTTTTGTTCCCTTTAGTCCTCCAGCTTTGGGCCAGCTGTTTAGATACTTAGTTTTGTCGCTTCCCTTTGAATTTCTGGAATGTTGGCTTCAAATCAGAGGTGTGTTTGGGGTTATTTTCCAGAGGGCCTTTGCTCCCACATCCTGTCCACTGCGATCCTTGTTCGAATTCACCTTTAACTCCCCTTTCCTTGTCCAGTTCAGTGTCTTCTTCATAGGAAAGTCTGAACCACCCTCTAGTCCGTACCCAGGTAGTTGCTTCTGACGCCCCCCTAATAGAGCCAGATTGTTGGGAGCAGCAGTGGAAGGGAGAGCTGACAACAGCGTGTGGATTCAGACCGACCACCAGGGGTGGGATGGACAGCTTTCGCACATATACCTCACTGTCCCCCAACAGCATTGCTGTATAACTCTGAAATTATCAATTTTCAGAGTGAGCATCATCAGAAAAGGTTTACACTTTCTGCTGTTGACGAGAGGTCGGCAAACTATGACCCATGGGCCAGATCCAGCCCAGACCTGTTTTTTTAGGAGCTCACGGTGGCTTCTATAGTTTTAAATGGTTATATAAATACCTACCTACTCTCTATTTTGCCCCTTGCCCCTTAGGGCCTAACATATCTACAATCTGGCCTGTTACGAAAAAATTTGCGTAGCCCTGCTCTAGGAGAAAGTTGGGAGCCACATTCTATGATTGAACCCTGTGAAACTATCTTTTGACCTACTAAAATGCTTATTTCCTATAGTTTGATCTAATGTATACTAAGGAAATTCTTTTTTCAAATGGTTAAAATTGTAAAGTTTGGACTCTTGGAATGACGAAGTAAAGTTCCGTGGGAAATTCACAAATGTGGGCCTGCTCGTTTTTCCCCATCTTGGTGAACGATTCATTGCCCCCTCCTCTCCGGAGGTCTTCAGAGGGCCCTGAGCTGCAAAGCCTTACGCTGTTAAATAGTTGAAAGGAAGATCTTCTTTTCTCTTGACTTATTTTTTTAAACCAAGAGTCCTCTAGAGAAAACCGTCTTTTTATCTTCCCCTTCCTGGGTGCAGGGACGAGCTCGCCATCCTCAGAGGCCCCTGTGGGCGCGGCACCTGTGCTTCTTTCTGGTGGGAAGGCGGATGAGGGGCTGCCTTTGCCACGGGCCACGCCTGCTGCCCCCTCGGCCTGCAGTGTGTCTGCCTAACGCGTTGCTTGAAACGTCCTTCCCTGGAGCTGGAATGTGGGTCTCACCCTTTGCGCTTTCTGTTTTCTTCCCCCCATAATGTCGATCCCTTAGTCCAGTGCATTAAAACCGTCCTTCAGTTTATGTGGTTTGTTTTCCATTCTTTCTCTCCCCTTTGTACCTTCCTTCTCCGGATTATTAAATAAATCTGCTTATTGAAACCTACAGCTGACCCTCTTCAGTGGCCACCCTTCGTGGTGGGAGACACTAACCTCAGCTGCTCTGTGTCCTGTCACCTGAGACAAGAAATCTAAGATGACTTGGGGCCTCTGAGCCAGGCCAGGGTCTGAACCGGGCCACATTGTTCCCAGGGCAGGAAAACTACTTCAGGGGGGAAAACAACTCTCTGGAGTTTATAATTTTGTTACTAAGCGTGGTCAGAACCATCAGTCAGGAGTTGGTAGTCCATGCTGCTGTACTCTGAACTGTTCTTGAGGCTCACATGGCAAGTTGGAGTTTAGATTTTCTTTCCTTCTGTTTTGGGACCATTGCTCTGCCTTTCCAGCCTGTCTTCTTTTAGGGCAGGGTGCTGTCCTGTGGGGAGTATGGAATGGCGCACTCATTGAGCGCCAAAATAAGAAGTCAAGAGCTAGAGCTGACCTCTCCTGACATTTCAACAGTGCTTGTGCTAAGACTAGAGGTAACTTACCCTGGGGATGATTCGTCAGGTTGCCCCCGTAATTATTTTTACTTGCCCCTCTCTGTTCCTTGACTGCAGCCGCCGCACTGAGCCCGGCCCTCGGGATCTGGGCTGTTGCAACAGCCTCCAGACTTCTGGTCTGAAGTCTCCCTCCTTGCAAATTAGATTCATTCATAAAAGCCAGATTAATCTAACTGATGAAGCCTAACTCCGATCACGTCACTTCCCTGCCAAGAATATTGAGTGTATCCGCACTAGTCCAGGAGGTCGCCCTGACGTTTGAGTCCTCCACATTTTCTTTCACTACTCCTTTAATACCCATTTCTCATGGTGAAATGTTAGTTATTGTTACTGTTAGCAATAGTACTCCTCTGTAGAAACTTCAGGCTCGCTTAAGTGGGTGCTCCTGCTGAGGCACGCCCTTTGATTCGGGTCAGGGTGCTGTTGCTCATGCTGTTCCCTCTCTGGAACGTGGCTCCTTCTGTCGACAACCTGCTAAAACCCCGTTCGGGCTTCAGGGTGCAGTGGAGTTGCCCTCGTTCTTAGGAAGCTTCACTGGTTTCCTGTCTCTGTCAGCACATGCTCCTGTAGCTCTTAACTCTCCCTCCTGAAGCTTGTATCCCAGATTGCTCTTTCTGTATGCTTTGTCTGAACTTTGACTCTAAGCATGTTCATTTCCCTTCTCTCTTCTGTGTGTGAGGGCAGTGCTTTATCTGTGGTCAGTGCTCAGATATTTGTGGAATCACCTTGGGCTTGGGGATGGGTCTGGATAATCACTGTCCTCAGGAAGCCCCTGCAGAGCATTTCCCAGAGTGCTCGGCAGAGCCAGTGCAGAGCCCAGGACAAGGTGGGGTGAGGGGGGTGCCTCCTCCCGGCTCCCGGGGCCCTCCCTCTGCCTTTCCTTCCCTCTCACTCAGCCGGGTGTTTCCTGCCTTTCTGCACTTGAGAAATGGCCCTTTGAAAAGTAGAAACAGTAACAGGCACGTATGATTATTTCTTTTGGCCTTTCCTCCTTGACTTCCCCACGCTGACGAAAGGCATTGGTTTTCTTTGTGGTTCTACTTCATGCCACACATTGTGTCCTGATTTTACCAGCTTTTCACTTCAAACTGGATTAGCTCGGAAAGGTTTATTTTATTGTCTACATTTCACAGATGAGACAATGAGGCTTGAAACAACAAAGCAGCTTGTTGGAGCAGAGCTGCAGTGGGAGCCTAGGTGTGTCTGCTCCCCAGGTCTGGGTTCTGTGTTCCCACCGGCCTTTCTCCTCACCTGCCACCACTCAGGTGATCCCTTATTTAGATGATGTCTGCTCACCTGTTCTCACTGCCACAGCTTTTGGTAACGGGGGTCTTAAAGGCCTAAAAGATTTAGCATCAAAGGATGCTGACATCTGCGTCGTCTCCTCCTCTGTCCATTATTTAAGCCAGGTGACCGCAGGCAACATGAAGGCCGTGGAAGAGCACTTCACACAGAAGAAGAAATAACTAATACAGAAATAGTAACATATGACGCAAATAATGCATGTTTAGTATAGAGAATTTTAAAAAAATAAAAAGGTTCTCACAACATTGCACACCAAGAGATAAACGCCTTTAACATTTTGTTGAATACTTTTCTATATTTCAAATACTCTCTCAATATATTTATTTCTATTTACTTCCAGAAATGGGACAGTGTTATCCATTGTGTCTACCGAACCAAGTATCATAGGTAACTCTTTAGATCAGTACACTTAACTTTCACAAGTAGCTGCAGCCTGTGATGTTCCAGAGAAAGGCTGTGAACCAGGGGAATGCAGGAAGGCCAACTCACCTCGGCACAAGGAAGAATTTTGTCAGGGTTAAAGATGTTGTCAGGACCCATTAAATGGACTTGCACCATCCGTTCATAGGCCTCAGTTCGGAGTTGAAGAACACTGGCCCAGAGGTCCTGCAGTACGGGAGGGCGTGCCTGGGCAGAGTGAGAGTTTGCAGGGTGCCTGTGGTCGGAGTTCAGAACTCAGCCAGGGCTTGAGGAAACATTTGGAATTTGAGTTAAGACCAGGAGCCCGAGAGCATTGCTCATGATCATTAACAGCCAGTGGGTCTCACTGCCCAGAACAGCCGGGATATGATGTGGTGTCCCGAGAGGGGGGCCTTCTGCTCCTGCCTTAATTGGTTTTCCTGGTGTGGGAGGAAGTCCTGTAGGATCGCCCAGATGCGGGTGATCTCAGCGAAGAACCGTCAGGGAGTCTCACAGTTTCAGTAATAAAATTCTATGAATGGAGAGTGGCTCTAGGAGTTGGGAAAGGTTAAAGGCCACAAGACTTTAAAAACTGATAAGATTTTTATTCTTTCCAAGGGAAAAAAAAAGATTCATTTATTTTAGAAAAATGTGTAAATACCAAAACCACAAGGGGGGAAAAAAAATCCTTAACATTTTTCATGTGTCTTTACAGTCTGTGTGTATGTGTGTATG